GTACTTTCTGTTGAATAGCAACATGTAAAGTTGTAATTTTTAATTGTAAAGGCTTATTAGATTTATCACCAAGAGTTATTTTAAATGTTATATATCTAAAAATATATTTCGAATATTTTTTAATTACATTATATTTCGATTACATTTTTATAAGTATGATATTTGAAAATTATAATGAAAGCATAAAAAATATATTATTGAACATCTAAAATAGATAAATAAACACAAATATATTTAAAATATATAATATTGCTACCTGTTTTTGAACCGAACCATGTTTAGGTTATGTAATGAGTTAAAGTATGTAGTTCTATAGAAAAAGTTACTTAAGAAAAAAATAAATATTAATTATATATATAAATTATAAGTTTATATCACTTAATAATAAATAATTGAGAAACTGTATGTTTTGAAAAATTTGTGACATCAAAGTTTTACCACGTGTATTACTTTTTATTACTCAATACTTAAGGTATTGCTAGGTCGCTGTCAAACTAGTCGCACGTGCGTGCAATGTATACTATATTTTTATTACTATTTTTTAACAATATAATATTTTGTTTTTTTTAAATATATTGTTATATCGTTCAATAATATTATTTATTTAATAATTAATTTTAATAGAACTTATATAAAACACTCGAAGAATATAAAAAGATCGTAATACGAAGTAGTAGAATTAATTACGATAACGCACTTAGAATTTTTTATACATACTTTCCATATATGGATCTACGTATACTATGCCATTCTACTTACGTAACATTGTTATATTTTGTTTTCAATGTTTTTATATCCTATATTTTTAAATTTAATTATAAGTTGTTTATTTGGAATAATTCCATTGATAATAATTTCCTTTTTGTATATTATGTTTTTTTATTTTATGTATAAAAAAGTTATATAGCAACAAGTTATTATTGGTGTTATTATTACTTAACTGTTTCTTATTGCTGAAAGAGTTATCTCAGGGTCATGTAAGATTAAAGTAAAGCTCATGATTACATAAAGTTTTACTGATAATAACTATTATTTACTCATATTTGCAGCTCACAATGATTCTAGTTGAAGTAAAGCATTCAGTTGAATTCTCTTAGTGAAAGATATAAAACTTACGAATCTATTCTAAGAAATATGGACATGGATTACTTTGTGGGTGTTGATGTAGGAACAGGAAGTGCTCGAGCTGCTCTGGTATCCTCTAAAGGGAAGATAATAAAATTGGCAACATGCCCACTTGAAATTTTTCACCCTGCTCCTAATTTTTATGAGCAGTCATCTGATAATATTTGGAGTGCAGTTTGCCATGTAGTAAAGGTATAAAACAAATTTAACAAATTTAATTATTTTATATCAATAATAAATTATATATAATTTTTTTAATTGCAGTCAGTTGTGGCTGATATTTCTGCAGATAATGTAAAAGGTATTGGTTTTGATGCTACATGTTCATTGGTTGCAATTGATAAAACAGGATCACCAGTTACAGTTAGTCCAACAGGTATTTTTCAAAATTTTTCAAACTTAAATAAAATATTTATTCATTATTTAAATTTTTATTTTTATAGGAGAAGATAAACAAAATGTTATATTATGGATGGATCATAGAGCACAAGAAGAAGCTGATTTTATAAATGCTCAAGGTCATGATATGCTTCAGTATGTAGGTGGAAAAATATCATTAGAAATGCAAACTCCTAAAATGTTATGGTTGAAAAAAAATCTATCTTCATCTTGGAATCGTGCAGCATTGCTATTTGATCTGCCTGATTTCCTAACATGGAAAGCAACAGGTTCTGAATCAAGGTAATAATATTATTATATAAAATTTATTTTTAATATAAAACATAAACATTGTAGTATAACTTTTTAGTTTGATTTCAGATCTTTATGTTCTTTAGTGTGTAAATGGAATTATAGTGCTGATCCTGATGGTAACAATAAATGGAATGATGAATTCTTTGAGCAAATTCATTTAAAAGATCTTAAGAAAGATAACTGGAGAAAAATAGGTATTATTGCTAATCTATATAATAATCGGAATTGTTTCTATTTAGGTAAATTTAAATCGATTACAAAACGGAAATTATTTCGTTTGAATCATATATAGTTTTTGAGTTAACAAGTTAACAAATCTCTTTTATGTTCAGACAGATAATATGAAAGTATTACTTTATTTTAACAAAGAGAAATATTAATACGAAGGTAATGATGTGAGGGCTCCGGGCGATCCGGTTAACCAAGGATTATCAACAAAAGCTGCATCTGAATTGGGTCTCCTAAAAGGAACAGCTGTGGGAACTTCTCTTATTGATGCACATGCAGGAGGACTTGGTATGATAGGCTGTTCTGTACCTGCCATGTCTTATAATTTACAAAGTAGATTAGGTATATCTATGAAAAATTTTCTACTGTATACTATATTATTTTTATCGTTTCGATCCTTGTAATTAATGAATATAATTTACAGCATTAATTTGTGGCACATCAACTTGCCATATGATAGTTAATGAGAAGAAACTTTTTGTTAGTGGTGTTTGGGGCCCATATTTCAGTGCCATGGTTCCAGGATTATGGTTGAGTGAAGGAGGACAAAGTGTAACTGGAAAATTACTTGATCACATAATTGATACTCATCCCGCGACACCAGGAATTTTGAAAAGTTTAAGCGGAAATAAGTAAGTTAAAATAAATTATATAAATTCATAAACTTTATTTGTCATGTAATTTTTAGACATATACAGCAATATTTATCTGAATTATTACAAACGATGTCTGATCAAAAAGGTTTAAAAAATATCTCATATTTAACAAAAGATATTCATGTATGGCCTGATTTTCATGGTAATCGATCACCTTTGGCTGATCCATCACTTAAGGGAATGGTAATAATATTATATGTTCTTTTTGTGACTGACTCAATTATAAAAATAAAATAAATATAAAATAAATAAATTAAATTTTTTAATTGAATATTATATAGATATCAGGACTCTCTTTATCAGTTGATCAAGAAAACTTGGCACTATTGTATTTGGCAACAGTACAAGCTTTAACGGTATGAATATATTTAATTTTTTTATATTTTTCTTACGATAAAAAATACATTTAATGTTTTTTAACAGTATGGTACAAAATATATTTTGGAAACATTAGAAGCTGCTGGTCATAAAATAGATACTTTATTAGTTTGTGGAGGTCTAAGTCAAAATCCATTATTTATACAAATACAAGCAGATGTATTAGATTTACCTGTATTATGTCCTATTGAAAAAGAATCAGTACTAATAGGGGCTGCAATTCTTGGATCTTATGCAGCTAAAAAATTTAATACAATGTATGATGCTATTAAAGCAATGGGAGGATCTGCAACCATGATTAAACCTAGAAGCAAATGCTACAAGTAAGCGAATCTGCTTAAAAAAATTGTTTAAATTATTTTTGATGTATAATATATTTACTATTTTTCTTTAAAGGTATCATCTTCAAAAATATCGAGTTTTTCGAAAGATGGTGCAAGATCAAAATGATTATAGAGAAATTATGAACGAAGAATTTTTATAATTATTATCATAGGTGCTGCATTTGTACTTATTAACACTATAGTAAATAAAATGAGGAATTATACTTAAAAAAAATCTCTTATAGAATCTCATAATTAGCAAATAATATAAAAAAATATGATATTTCTTATACAACTTTTTTACTAATTAATAATATTTTATATACATTATTATGTTGAAATATATTTTTGTTATCTATTTTATTTTTTATCTTTATTTGTTGTAAATAAAGATATATATGGAAATATTTGTAGAATTTTCTTACCTTAAATGATAAATGATAAATGATAGATTTAAACGCGACATATTAAATAATATTGCTTTATTTAATATTTAAATGTAGATTTGATTTTATAAAACATGTTACAACTTTTCATTACAATTTGATATAAAACATGTAAAGTCATAACAATATTGCTAGATAATTAATTGTTATAAAAATATTGTATATATTTTAGTTTTTTTAATAAAAAAATTTTGTTTTTCAATATTGTTATGTAATCTTATAAAATGATATTATTTAAGAATAAAAAGCCTTAATCATATAATATAGTATATAATATAGTATATTAAATTCTATTAACTTATAAAATAATTTTCTTATCTTGTTAACTAATATATAATATTTTACCGCACGAAGTAACGTCATTATCACATTGTTTAAGAAAACTTCTTAAAAATTTGACAACCTTGATATTTTATTCATTCTTTAGTGATATAATTTGAAAAACAAAGAAAACTAACAATTCCATATCACAAAGTCAGTTTTATCACATCTGATATATAATTGCTATATTCTGTCACTAAATTAGTGACTTTAACTAAAGAAAACTGACCATAATTTGAACAAAATATAAATGTGATTTTAATTTACATTAAAATGATTATAGAATATTATTCAGAATAATACTGGTGTAAAACTTTGGATAAAACTAGTTTCTTGTTAAGTATTATAACTAATGTAAGTATTAATAGCACATTATAAATTGACAATTGTTTGTGAACTTGTTTTATTTAAATTTTTAAATCTAATTCTATTTAAATCTAATTTATATATATATTGGTACTAATTGCACCTGATATTAAACATTTCACTTTAAATTTTTTATAAGATGATTGGGTAATATTTTAATATTACAGAATCTTATAATTAACAATTGTAAACAAAATCGTAAATTAATTTTTTGATACATATATACTTACATTAAGAAACAAATAGAAAAAAGTTCTTTCTATCAATTTTAAAATCCAAATTTTTTGAGTATTTGAAATTAGCATATCAATTATAAATTTTGAAGAAATATAATTTGATAATTATAATTTAATTTGATTCATTAATAATTTGATATTATATCAATATCAATCATCAGTCTTTTAATAACTAGTTTGTTGATCTAAATTTGTAGAAAAATTGAATGATATAAAGTGAACAGTATGTTTTAAATGTGCATTAACAAATTCAAGTTTATCTTGCATTATATTCTAATTCTAACTATAATAACGATCATTATATAAATTCAAGTTTAAAAAGTATTAATATTTTGATACTTGGAAGACACAAAGTGCGTGTTTCAATGAAACATTAGATTATAATATTCTTTTCATGAGATATTTTTTATAATATATATATTTCATTTATAAGTAATGAATAATTTTTTTTTAATATTAGCAAGGCCATTGCTAATGCAAAACATAACGCGTATATTTTAGAGAATATAGAATATCGATTCAACTAGTAATTAATATTATACTTATGGTACATTAATTTGTGTTAAAATTATTTTACAAAATCATATCGTCAAAAAAAGAAGTTATTCACTAGCATTTGATATTGCTTTTCAGTATAGAAAAATACGCTATTTAAAATAAATCAATTTAAACAAAGCGATAACATTCTGCGATATGATTAAGCATATATTGAAATGCTGTAGAAGGAGACGTACCGAATCTTTGCCTCCATAAATGCTTTGATATTATACGCTGTCCTAGAGTATGTGTAGTTTCTTGAATTTCTTCGCAAATCTCAACACCAGTTTGCCAAATTGTTTCTTAACAAATAATATTAATAATAATATTTTTATATAATATTTGATAACAAGCAATATACATACATACCTAGATTATTAAGAAGTTTATTTTTTCCTGGTGGATCAAATTTCTGGAGTTGTTCTACGCTAATTACTTTATATTGTTTTAATTCTTGTAGCAATTCAAAACTGCAACAACGAGCTCGATTATTTGCTACAATATAACTACCAGGAGCACTGTGTTTTGCAATCTCTTTTAAAGCTTCTTTAACCATGTTGCATTTATCAATATCACATTGTGATTTATCTATCTTCAGTGGCTAGTGAATGATAATATTAAAATGAAAAAAAATATAATTGCAAAAAATTTATAAAAATTAAAAAAAAAAAAAAATAATACCTCTGGAAATGCTTCAATCATATGAAACCACATTCTAGTTGGTATTGTATTTGCTTCTGCTATACATACTATTGTATGAGAGTTATTGTTGCGTTTCTTAGCACTAGTTATATCAGAAGGATTTTCAGTCATATAGCCATTAGGAAATTCATCCACAATTAATATTGCACTTTGACCTCCTAGAACCCAATCCTCTGGATGACTTGTTACATAATTTTCAGAAACTTCATCACATCTCTCATATACTTTCTTAACTACGTGTTTTTTTATATCTAAATAAAAATATATAAAATTTATTATTCAAAATATTTAAAAATTTATATGAAACATACCTAAATAATTGGCAGTATGTTCACTAGGTATCATTTGACACCATCCTAATATCAATTGAAGGCACATTTTCAGGTCACATTTAACTCCAACAAAAAATGAATTCTCTCTAATAGATTGCTTTCTTGTACAATTAGGACAAGACCAACTATATTTATCTACAATTCTTGCTTGATTCCAAGCCAAACTCCTTCCTTTACATTCAGGGTGTGGACAAGTAGAAACAGTTCTAATTAAACTCATTTCTTTTAACCAGCCACATAATTCTCCTTCATGTCCTTGTTGTAACATAGGTCTTACAACAACATCAAAATAGCCTCCTTGATCTCCAAATCTCTCTATACATTGTCTGAAAATAAATATTATGATGATAATAAAGAAATAATAATTTTCAATGAATATTTAAATTAATTTAATAATTAACTTATTTAAGATATTAAAAAAATAAATATTAAAATAAATTATATAAAATATATGATATTACAAAAAAAATAAAAAGCTATATATTCTATATATTTGATTCTACATGAACGAATAAATTTGAGGTATCTATTGTATACAAAAGTGAGAAAAAAAATCAATATTTTTCGAGGTTAAAAAGTTTACTATTCTTGATATTATTAAAAAAAATTAATAAAATATTAACTTTTCAATGAATTTCTTAATAAATAAGAAAATATATGATATAATTTTATAAAAAAATAAATATAATTATCGAAATAGTTTTCAGTAGCAGAAGCAACAAGTATAATTACTTCAAAACTATTCAATTGAATCAATTACCTCGCTTTGATTTTTGCGTTCTTCATTTTTGATATAAAAGTCACAATATACAAATACTTTACAATTTGAAAGGAACTTAGAAAAATCTATAACATTTTTAAGCCAACTAAAAGATAAACAAAAATAAGGAAATCAACGAGGAACCACAAAAGATCGCGGAGCAATCTCAATGTTACGCAGCCATCGCGCATCGACTTGAATATTGTACATATACCACAAACAAGATATAGGATAGACCCAACATTTAATGGAATTTTGTATCTTATATTCTGAAATACCGATTGCGCAAATAATCAATGTTCAATGTATCTATTTAAACCGATAAATACAGAAATTATATTCAATTTAATTAAGATAAATTTAAAGATAGTAAAGATAAATTTAATAGATTTTAAAAATAATTTCTTTTATTAAAAATATGTTAAAATACAATTTTGTTAAAAATATATATTCTTTTATTAAATATTCTTACGATTTATATATATTGAATTTTATTCATAGATTTTCTAATTACTACTATTATAACTGTTACTATTAATAACAGACAATAAAAATAATCAAATATAGAAATTGTTTCTTGAAAAAAAAATAAATGTGGAAAATGTGGATAGAAATAGAATAAAAATATGAGAATCACCATCAATGTTGCAAATAAATTAACCAAAGGCAGCAAATAGTAAGAGAAGAATAGATATAGAAAAAAAATTCACTATCAGTATTATCTCTAAAATATCAAAAACTTATTTTTTGATAAAATCATTTAAAACATTCAAAAAATCGTATTAGCAATCGATTCTTATTTTATTTCTATTCTTTTTTCATTTTTTTTTTTGTTTTTTCTTTATATATTTTGCATTTTTCTGAAAATAGTACCGATTTCAATATTTTTATTCTATTTTTGTCTTTCGCTCATTATTTATTTTGCTATATCTAAACTTGTCTTAGTCAGGGATATCAATTAAACATTTTCATTATTTCTCTTTCAAAACTATAATGTGTTTTAATTTTTAATGTAAAAAATATAGATATTACATTTTAAGTTTTACAATGTATACCGATGATTTCTAAATATAACACAAGTGTTTTGACACGAAGCAATATTCAGCGATAACAATGAAATTTAAATATAGGATTAGTAATATGCATAATAGAATATTTATCCTATTTCTTATGTGTAATTTTATATTCAAATTTAATTTCAAATTCAATTAATATTGCAATTTTATTTTGAATCGAATCGATAATGTTGAGAATGACACTAAAATGATAAGAAAGTCTTAATCCCTTCCGGGATAAAAATCTATTGAATGTTAGATCTACTCTGTATCTTGTCTGTATACATTATCTTATCCTTTCTTTTCTATCGATAAAAAAGACCTTAAATCATTTTTTTATTCATTTTTATAATCAATATATAGAATATTCTATGATTATTTAATTTTTATTAATAATAAAGTTCTACATTCAAAATAAAATGAGTCCATTTCGATTAAATACCTTGTATTTCTTTTTTATTATGAACATGTTTTACAAAGCAAAATTGTGTAATGGTGGAAATGGTGGATGTTGTGGAGGCTGAAAACTACGGAATTAGTGTTGGTGGGGACAATTCAACAAGATTTCTGGAAAAGTGAGTGCGGGTAAAAGGGCATCGGCACAGTAATATAAAAAGTACTCTTTAAGAGACAGCATGAAGAATTAGGCCGGCACATTCATTCATTACGTTTCTAAATATTCATACTGCACTTTCATATGTATGCATTTTAAATGATAAACATGACTTTCCTTAGATATTTTAATAATTACCCCACCAAATTTTTATATACTCCATTACTCAATTTGCACTTTTTCAATAAATCTAGCATAATAAGAAATGACCAATTTTTTGTACATTTATTTCACAATTATATTTTTCTTGATATATTTATTGTTATTAAAAAATAAAAATTAAATGTTTTTCACGCCTGCACATTTTGCTACCTTCGTATTGATGTAAAACAAAAAAAATAATGAATACTTTTTATTTTAATTTTAAAATTCGATTATTGATACGTCACAAATGTTGTGATCTCCATGCTTAAAATAAATAACTTCAATTTTAATCATTTCAAAATTTAAAAGAAAAATAACGAAGGTAACATTAAAAGCCGCCTAAAAATTAGTTTACACCATTTCATTTACACAAACAGTCTCAAAAATATGATGTCCTAATAAAAAAAAAATTAATTATGTTAAAATGTCGCTACGTCATTATATAATGGTTTAGCGTGAAAATGATAAATCAGTATTGTAATAAAATTTTTTTCATTTAATGACCGACGAAAATCAATCATACATTTGGGCTTCGAGTAAAATAGTGATCTGCGATGTCACTGAACTCTATTTAATATTTACAAATGAGATCGATATTAAAAATAATGAGCAATTAATTTGTTTTGTTTTTAAACTCTTTTTTTCATTTTTCTTTCTTCAATATTATATATTCTATAGTGCGTGCATAAGAAGGCGCAGTCCAATAATATTTTTTATTCACGACAAAAAGATTCAGTCATACCACACCTTGCAGAGCCGACAAAAACGTGAACATGTTAGAATACGTTACTTCTTTTTTTTTTCCACTAACAGTAATGGCGACTGGCAGATAAACAGACAGTTTGGCAGGCATGGTGAACATAAAATCAAACATGTACACACGATACAATTAACCAAACCTTTTTCTTTACTTCATTTTTTTCTCTTGCACACAGCATACATGTAAGACATTCACTCCGTCTTTCATTCTCTCAATTTCCGTTTCACACCATCCTTATTTTCTATATCCATGAGGTCCTATAATATTTTAACATAGGCTTTAGTATGCTATACTTGTAAGCTATTCTAAAAACTACCAGCTGCGTCGCCTACTATGCGGCACAGTCATCTTAATTAATATTAGGAATATCGGCAGTGAAATTCCAATGATAGACGCGGCGGGCAGGCAGTCAGTCCAGCAAAGTCCGTGGCACTTGCGCTGCTCCGGTGCAATAACGGATTTAAAAAACTTGATTTTTTTCATCGGGGTGCCCCACGCGTTAATTTTTAATATTTATCATTGCGACATTCACGATAAAATGTCTAGAAAGATAATGAATTAAAATTAGGGGGGCACCCCATTGTTCGAACAGAGCGATTCTCTACTTTTACTTCCACCATGGCACCTTCGTCATCGTATTCACCATCGCTTATTATCATCATTATCATTTTTTTTTTCTTTTTTTTTTTATCCCTTATATTCTATATGTTTTTTTTCTTTCTTTCTTTCTTGTTTCCCTCCCGTCTTTTTTCTTTTTCTTTTTTTTAGTTTGTTGAAAAATAATTTTTTTTTTTTTTTTTCTTTCTCTTTACAATACTTCCTTGTATGATCGATCCGCGACGCCGCGGATCACCAGTGTCATCGCTTGTATGATGAATCGATCGGAAAGAACGAAAAACAGCGTCGAATTGTCCGAAACATAAAAAGTTACTAAGATTACAAATCACAAATGAAATCACAGACTTTCGTTGGTGGTTTGACAGAGGGGAGGGGGCCGCACATTGCAATTAGAACAACATTGTAGGCATTATTCTTATATCAGGAAAAGTTTTGATGGGCCTCGTATATTTTTTATAGAGGTATTCTCTTTCTTTTGCTGTAGTAGATTACCCCCAACTCAATCTATTCCCATCCATTCTCCTTGATCATATGAGCAAGCTCGATTATAAACTTTCCTTCTTTATATTTTTGACTCGACTCGAACGCATGCTCCTATAAAATTTCCAAATGAAATATTAGAGAATATTCGGTTCGATCGTTCGATATGTATATTTAAATATTTTTGAAAAAAAATTTAAAACGGAACTCACGTATTTCCACCCAAGGGTGGTCTTGCAACACTCGCAATAAATATCAGCGACAGCATGAAGGCCAGTTAAGAGAACTCGCTCTTCCGCAGGACCACAGCCCACGTTCACCCTAAAACAATAAAGAGAACGATCATTCAATCACCATTATTTATATATAAACATCTTATAGCGTCAAGAAAGAAAGAATAGATAGAAATAGCAGGGGAAAAGAAAGAGAAATGTGAAAAACATGAGAAGTTTCACAAATAAAATATCGTGTCCTACTTTCCAACAAACGATTCGATCTTGCCTCTGTGACTCTGAAGACATTAGCATACTTACACGGAATTAAAGAGATAGGCACGACCTTGACTGCCCTGGAAGGACTGCAATCAAAAGGAAAAAGCTTATTACAGTAGACTGTACATAGCTACATACATATGTACACAATATATACATACACATAATACGCATATCACGGTATACATGCTGTGTGTACCGAGCTCGGAAGTGAATGCGAGAAGTCTGTCCGTTACCTGATCTAGCACGGCTCACCTTAGAGATGAGTTCGTCGTGGTTGGCGAGGTGAGCACGGCAGTGAATGCACGAGTAAGTGCGGTGACACGAGGGCAGGTATGCTTGAAAAGTTTTGACCATGATGGCGTGTCCAAGCAAGCAAAGGAAACTTCGCCCTTGTTTTCTTCTTCTTCGTCGTCGTCGTCGTGGTCGTCGTCGTCGTCGTCGTCGTCGTGGTCGTCGTCGTGGTCGTCGTCGTCGTCGTCGTCGTCGTGGTCGTCGTCGTGGTCGTCGTCGTCGTCGTCGTCGTTGATTTTCTTCCCTCGTTTTATCAAGTGTCAAAACGCCACTTTTTTTTCCTGCTCGTCGTCTTCTCCTCTTGTTCGTGGAAACGTCTGGCCGTTAGCAACCAGCGGCCGATTAATATAACGAATTTCTCCAAATCGCGGGGTGGTGGTGCAATAGTGGCCCCGTTCACCGCCGCTTCGTACTCCGATCAGCTGTTGAGCTGGTTCAGACAGCGCCGGTTCGGGGACATCTGTGAACGCCGAATTATTAATATTATTTCTCTTATTTTTGTCCTATCTCTAATCGTCGTCGACTCCTGATATGAAAAAATTATAATGTCTTCCTATGTATTGTGCAACTTAAAATTACGCGCTTATAACGCGTACGATGACGACACGTGTTATATATCTTTGTCAGGAATAGCCGCATGATCTAATCTAACGCAATGCGTTCAATTCGATTATCATGAATCTCTGTCTTAAGATAATATCTAGAAAAGAATTATATAAATGAGAACATTAAAAACATTTAAGAAAATATTTTTTTTCTTTTTTAGAAAAAGGAAGAAAAATTTCATGTTTTTCTCGTATATATACATATATATACATATATAT